CTCCAGTCTAGGCGACAGAGTGAGACTCCAACTCAAAATAAATAAATAAATAAATAATTCCACAAGACAGACACAAATCCCTGTCCAGAGCTGGCAGTCTAGGCAGGAAAACAGACAATAAATACATATACCTACCTAAACACGCAATACAACACATACGTCTGCAACGCATAATTGTGCAATGCAAGGCAGTAGAGGTGCGTAGATGGGGCTGACAGGCGCTGTGGGGTGAAGCAAAGCAGAGCAAGTGGCTGGCCAGAATGGAGCCCAGGGTTTCCTGCTGCACAGAAGAGGGTCTGGGGAAGCCCAGGGGGCCTGAGAACTGGGCATTTGAAAATCAAAGGGGAGTGAGCCGGGAGGCCCCAAAGAGGTCTTGAAAAGTGCTCCAGGCAATGAGACAGCCAGCGCAAGCCAGGATGGGGAGCAGGTGGCTCAGTCTGTCATCCCGCGCCTTGGGAGGCTGAGGTGAGTGGATCGTCTGAGCCCGCAGGTTCGAGACCCGCCTGGGCAGCGAGACCTCATCTCTACAATAAATCAAAAAATCAGCCGGGCATGGTAGTTCCAGCTACTCGGAAGGCTGAGGCGGAAGGATCACTGGAGCCCAGCAGGTCGAGGCTGTGGTGGCCGGGACCAGCCGCTGCCCTCCAGTCTGGGCGACAGAGTGAGACTCCGACTCAAAAAAAAATAAAAAGTCCTAGAAGCAGCAAGGAAAGAGGGTAGCCGCGGTGCAGTGAGGGAGGGGCAGGAGATGAGATCTGGGAGCCAAGGCGGGGGGCCGGGGTTTGGGGTGGTGTTGGAAAAGCCCGGGAAGCTGAGGCCCTTCTGTCTTCCACCTTTGCTGTTTGGTACCGCCGAAGAATTCTGTGCAGACATGGAAGAAGAAAATGGTAGGGTGGAGTCGTGTGGCAGGGCCCTGGGGCTTGTCCTGGAGCGAGGCTTCAGGGCAGTGTGGCATGCCTTTGCCACGGGGAAGCGGCGCCAGCCCATCCGGCAGGCGGCGAGGGCAGTGTGGAGAGCATCTGGGGCTGGGGCCAAGAGGACTTGTCCGAGGACCGATGGCCTGTGGCAGCCGGAGGGGCAGAGGTGCGCCAAGGCTCTCAGGCGGAGTCACCCTCACCGGTGCGGGGAGGCCGTCGGCAGCAGGAGCACCGCGGAATCTGGGCCTCAGCACTGGGCTGAGAGGTCAGAACAGGGGCCAAGACGGGCGGGTGGGGCTGAGCCCGGGAGTGTCCAGGTGGGCAGGGGGGAGAGGAAGACTCAACCAGCCGGAGGAGGCCGGCAGGGCTGGGGGTGGTCAGGTCGGTCCCGGGAGAGCTGACTGGCCTCCCACGCGCGAAGGAGGGACGCAGTGACGGACTCGGCAGAGGGAAGGAGTGAGCGTGGAAACCAGCCAGCCAGCCC